AAACCTAATTAAACTCTCACATCATTGAACAAATCTGCACAAAGGTAATACAAGAGGGCTTAATTTACCAAATGTTGAGAAATGAGGGAATTTAACAAATCCAGGCCTAACCCGGGGAAAATGGCCTTGCAGATATTATTTAAATATAAAACCCACATCTTTCACCACTAGCCACTCTTGCTGTAGCTATTAGAAGCTGCAATTCACAAACACAGAAACACAAACCCACCTAGAGAGAGATTCTCTTCTGGCTTTCATAGGCCAACCCAACACAGAAGATACTGAGGTCAACAGATAAAAGAACTTTTGCAAACTCAGAGTTCCAACACACTGTGACAAGGGAGGGAAAAAGTAATGCACATATATTGTAACCTGGACCACGCGATTCTCAGCAGCCAAGAACTGGAGAGGTACTAGAGATTTATACCGCTAAAGAAATAATGTCAAACCTATTTAGTCCCTAATGCAAATCAGGAAGAAAGGGAAAAGAACTGAGGCACACATAAATATAATAGCATGAATCAGGAGGAAAGGAAACTAAAGTTTGTTCAGATTTCGTTACCAAATAACTCAAGTTTCAGGATTCACAACACATCGAATCATCAGCATCAAAAAGCTAGGTTTTCACAACACTCACACACACACACATACAACAAAAGCAAGTAATGTTAAACAGGAGCATGAGGCCAGATCAAACTCAGCCAGATATATAAATTCAGCCATACAGTCTTTAGCTAACATGATTAAGTGTATTGTGTAAACACGGCAATGTTTTCCCTTCTTTTATTTTGGCTTAGCTTCAGCATTGCTTTTTAAGATAATAAGCCTTTTCAGAGTGGCTTACATAATACAGATAGATAAAATAATCACAAGTTCTAGTTAATGACAGCAGAAGCATAATTCAGCTGCTGAATCAGTGGGGGCATTGCTAGGGCACAGTAAGCAAAAAGGTGGGTTAATTTCCATGGCACACTATTTCCACCTGCCCAGAACCCTGCCGTGTGGACGCCTCTGTAACTGCCAGAAAGTATCCAGGCAGCACGGCATTCCCATTCTTCAAACACCCTCCAGCTTCTACCCAAATAATCCAGAGCTGCCTTTCAAAATTCAGCTGTTTCCGCTTGCCAACTCACCTCCAGTCTGGGCATCAAAACGCTTGGTGGCAATGGCATCAATTTCATCGATGAAGATGATGGCCGGTGCGTTCTCTTTGGCCAGTCGGAAAACATCCCGGACCATGCGTGGCCCCTCACCCAGGTACTTCTGCACAAATTCAGACCCCACTACCCGAATGAAAGCAGCTGGGCGGGAAGATATCATGACTCTGGGTTAGTGTCACAGCAGGCTGAATTATGCATAGGATTGTGCAGGAGTCAGTGTATATTTATGAAGCGATATACATTTGAGGTCAAGCTTGCACTGTAGATGGTTTCCAGAGTAACCAAATGTTAATTTCCACCAGCTGAACTAAAAAGGTTCAGAGAGGTAGCCTATTCTTCTCTAAAGAGGAAGATGGTAATACACATTCTAAGACGCCTCCAACTCCAACGTCCACTTGCCCTTGGTTAGCAACTGTTTTCGCATCCATGTTGGCTTCTTAAAAGTACAACATTTAAACCTGGCCCATTTTCAGCTTCAGAAAGTGTCAAAAAGGTTGGCAATAAAACATTAAAATAGCTCAGATAGGGGAGGGGGGAAATACCCAACAGGGGAGGAATCTATCCACGGCACATGGTAATCTAACCAAAACCATACTTACCTGTGGTGTGATGGGCCACAGCTTTGGCCAGCATAGTCTTTCCACAGCCAGGGGGCCCATACATTAACACGCCCCGTGGAGGATCTATGCCAATCTATAAAAGAGGCACAGAAGGAAGCAACAAGCAATGAAAGAATTAATTTGTGAGGCCATCGTGGTTT